CCTGCTCCAGTTCAGCCACGAGTTTACAACCTGAAGTCGAGCAGGACGCTCGTGATGCTCCATGTGTGTGACAGGTACGATTTACATTTCTGATCAGCCCTGTCTATTTTGTTTGACTTGGAGCGAGTCACTCTTTTCTGTCCGAGCGCTGTTTTGATCTTTTGTTTTGGATTCAATTTTTTTGTGCCGTTTCTCTTTCCGTGATTTGCCGGCTGGAAGTAATTTGATTGCCCGCAAGTTTTGTTTTTTGAGATCGACATTGCTGGTAAGAAGTGGAAATCAAGTCTGATTTTGTTGCCCTGATTTTCGTCTTAGATGTGATTCTGGGTATGGATTGGCTGAGTCTGTAATGAGGCTCAGATTGACTGTCTGAAGAAGCAAGTGAGTTTGCTTGTGGTTGGAGAGAGATTGTATTTCAGGGATTACGAGGTGTTCTCTCCAGTCTGATTTCTGTGTTGGAGGTGAAGCAGAATGTTGGAAGAAGGATGCCCAGTGTTTTGGCTTCGTGCGGAATCTGAACCTGGCGGTTGGTTCTGTTTCTGAGATCCCAGTGGTACGAGAGTTTGTTGATGTTTTTCCTGAGGAGTTTTGTTGGTTTACCTCCGGATAGAGATGTGGAGTTCTCTATCGATTTTTTCCGGTACCGCTCCTATATCAAAGCTTCGTACAGGATGGCACCGAAAGAACTTTCTGAGTTGAAAGTTCAGCTTCAGGAGTTGGTTGACAGAGGCTTTGTCCGTCTACTGTGGTTCGCCCTGGGAGCACCTGTTTTTGTTGTGAAGAGAGGATGACACTCCGATATGTGTGGATTACAGAGATTTGAACAAAGTTACGATCAAGAACAAGTATCCTTTGCCTCGATTGACGACTTGTTTGATCAGCTTTCCGAGATCTTCAGTATTTTCGAAGATTGATTTGCGGATCCGGATACTAGTAGGTGAAGGTGAAGAAAGCCTGATGTGGTGAAGACAGCTTTCAGTACTCGGTCCGGCATTACGAGTTCTTGGTTATGCCTTTGGGTAACCAACGGCCTGCTATTTTCATGGATCTGTGAACCGAGTATTCAGGAGTTTTTTGGATCAGTTTGTGATTTCTTATCGACGAATATTCTGGTTATATTCTGCTTCTGAGGTATGATCCTGCCAGACTATTTGAGGATTGTATTGGAGACTTTGGATTTTTGTTTCTAAAAAAATTCAGGCATCCAGCTTAAATCGCCAAGATATCCTCCAAGTTGTGAATTCTCTGGCGATTGAAATTTAAAGAAGGCAATCTTTACTTTAGGGTTCATTTGTGTGTTGACGGAGAAGGGTATGTTTTCCTGTTTGATTACCCCCAAGAAGAGTTCAGCCCCGGTTGGCTTTTGATTGGCCCCTCAATGGTTCCCCGGGACCCTTGTATTGAGGTACATCGATTAGTTCTGCGGCCAATGACCCGGAATTTATACCAGGGAAAAATTGGAAGTAAGTTTGAATCTTGTGAGATTGTATCTTTTTTTAGGGGGCCGGAGGGAAGGCCGCTCCACTACTGCCCTCTTGCTACAGTATGACGTATCACTGAATGACCCCCAAATATCAATGTCCGAATAACGAGTCATATAAAATAAATGATGAAGGGTCATTATCTATATTCTGTGCAAATTTGGTATTTTGTGATTTTCAGGAAAATTTGTGTAAATTCCGTATACTGCCGTTGTGCTGCCCGATTTTTGTCTGATTTCTGATTTGTCTGGATTTCTTCTGAATTAATATGCTATCTGTATATGCTATAAAAAGGGAGTTATAAGGGGCCTGGATCCTATGAGATTCAGTTAGTGTCTGGGAAAAACTTAGATGAGCTCAAGTTGGAGAAATATCTGTTCTGTTCCGGATCCGATGAATTCTGTTGTTCTGGTGCCATGAGTACATTTAGCTATTAATTACTCAGAGAATTTCTGGTGCCGTGAGCACAAGGGAGATATAAGGGTCAGAATCCGTAGTGATTCTGATAAGTTTAGTTTAGCTATTAATTAAATATCTGATATCTGATTTAATATGGTTCTGAATTCCATATCTGTTCTGTAAGCAAATCTGATTCTGATTTCCGTACGATATGAATCTGATTCCGATCTGTATGATATGATTCTGATATGATTCTGATACGATTCTGTTCTGTTCCGATATGATCTGAACTTCTGATTTCTGTACGATTCCGTTTCTGATTTGATCTGTCTGATCTGTTCTGTTTCTGATTTGATATGACTTCTATTTCCGTTCAGTTCTGTCTGATTTGATCTGTCCGTATCTATTCTGATTTGATCTGTTTCGTTCTGATATGTCCGATTTGATATCTGTTCGATTCTGTTCTGATTTCTGTACGGATTTGTCTGATGTGTTGGTTTTGAGATTCTGAGAATTTTGATTCGAGGTTTGTCGCTTTGCTGAGCTATTGAGCTCACTCTTATTTTCTGGTGATTTTCAGGTTCTGAGAAAGGGAAGGAAGTCTAGGAATATATTTCAGAGTCTGATCAGTATAGGTATTGTTTTGTACCTTTTGATTTTTGTACAGTCATGACTTTGCTGAGCTATTGAGCTCACTCTTGTTTTCTGGTGATTTTCAGGTTCTGAGAAAGGGAAGGAAGTCCAGGAATATATTTCAGAGTCTGATCAGTATAGGTATTGTTTTGTACCTTTTGATTTTTGTACAGTCATGACTTTTCTGTATTTGTAGATTATTATTTTGAGGAAAAGAAAAAAAGATAGATGTTTTGTTCTGCTGTGTTTGATGATTCATAGTAGCACTGTGTCTGTGTGTCTGTTTGAGTTAAATAATTTGGAAGATTCAGTTCCGAAACAAATTCTATAACCAGATCCTGATCAGTAAGTCAGTCCGTTCGTTCCGTGTCGCGACCCGATGCGAGCGGGATCCGTCCCGGATCGGGTCGGGTCGTGACACTACATAACTACATAAGAAGACATCACTCAAGAAGTGATCCAGAATTCGATGAATGTGATGCTGATGAAAATTTTGTTCATCTAAAGGCATGCGAGTTCTGAGTCGAAGAAGAAGTTGAACCTTTAGGAAATACGAATTGTTCTATAGAGTTGATTGATGGCGAAGGTGCAAAGGATATGGTTGAAGTTAGGGAGACAATTGCAATGCAATTATACAATTGTAACATGTATTACATTTACCTTAAATTTTATTTATATTTAAATATTCTATAAATAAATATTAGTAAAGATAGTAGAAATATAATAGTAAATGATTGATGATATACTTAAAATAAGCTTTTTTTTTTAATTTCTAGTTTCCTGATGAAAATTGAGATTCGTCAAATATGAATTGCTCCAAAGTAAAGCATGAGACGACAATAGTTTTGTTTTGTTGTTTGTAGATTTTTTTTTTCATGTACTTTGACTTATTTATTTGACTTTACATGTAACGAATTGAGTGTTTAAATGATGTAAGTTGTTGTTTTGTTTAAGGAGTTGTTTCTTAAAAGTTATATTTTGAAGCAGTATGTATATCATGTCGGTAGGCAGTGTTATGTCTATTATAAATAAAGGATTCAGTATGTGCATCAATTTGTATCGTGTAAATAGAAAGAAGTACACAAAGATTTGAAAGAGACAACTAATGGGCATAAAATTTGAGAAGTACGTAAAAAGGGAGAATTGATATACATAACTTTCTGTCACATTTCTCAATATATATAATAACATTGTATCAAATGATTTCGCTTTTTTGCTAGATGAATAGACCACCAGTCCAAGAAGCTGTATAATTACATCATTTATGCATTCCATATATATAAAGGGGTGATCGTTTCTCCTCTCTGATTAATTTCCTTATCATATATCGATCCTCATTATATCTACGCTTTTCCATTTTCAGTGTATTATTGCTATCTATATTCTCATTTTGGACAGTTTCATCGACATAAAGGTTATCTTCATAGAGACCCTGATATGGATCTTCCATTGATAAAGATTTTTGTAGCTGTATATTATAAAACATATGCGAATCAGTGAGTTCGAACCGGTGGTCTTGTTTATGCTTCTGGTTAAATATGCTTGGAAGCTTAGAACTGGTATTATAGCAAGATTCAGACAGATCAAAACCAATTACTTCTTTGCAATCTTTGCATTTGCATCTTTTCCCAATAATAGGGTACATCTGCATCCAAAAGATAGGATATTAATCAAAGGAGTAAATAACAAATGGTCCCTAAACTTTTCTAGTGTGTGCTTATTTTGGTCACATACAATTTTAGGTCTTTAATGTAGTCCCTTAACTTAAAATCTGAACCAAATTGACCTACCATCAACATTGTTATTTCATTGGACAGAAATTGGAGAAGAAAAGTTTTATATAAGAATAAGTCAATCTCACTATCTAATACTAATTAAAACTATAGATTAGGATTAATTTTATTTTCTTTTTAATTTTAAAAGCCTAAAAAATAATTTGTTTGAAATATACATTTGACTGGCTACTTAGAGTGCGCTATTTTTTTAACAACTAATAATGTGTATATTAATTTTTGAACTAAAACATTTTGTTCCAAATTTTTAATTCTTTAAGTGATACTATCAGACCATGATTTGAATTTTGATCTTTAAAAAATTAGAACAATCTCTACAGAAGATATGAAAATTAGAAAATAAGTAGATTAGTCATATTATACTTGCAAAAAATATTAAGTAAATTTGAGTTTAATATATGTATAGTTTCGTCATTTATGATGAAAAGCTAAAATTATTAATTGTACCAATTACTATTTATCTATTTTAAAGTTTGAATAAGAACATAAAAAAGTATTTAACCAAACAATATTTTGTAATAACTTTATTATATAAAACGTTATTTCTGAAACTCCATTTTCTCCACAATCATTTTAAAACAAATTTTTTCGAGAACATGACCAACCAAACAAAGCCTCACTCTTTTCTATTTATTCTATTGGTATATTGACAGTTCCATTAATTTATTCCTCCCTAGTCAATACCACGAATCCTAAACCACATAAAACTAGCGAGCACCTCGGAAGTGAGCTTTAATACTTCATTCCTTCCAAGTCAAGGAATCCTTCCTTTAAGGGCAGAATAAAATCGGGGAGAGAGAGAGATGAAGGGAGAAGAGATTGCGCATAGGACGCTGGAGCTCAACGGGATAATGATGCACGTCGCAGAAAAGGGAGAGGGGCCTGTGGTTCTATTTCTCCATGGTTTCCCTGAGCTTTGGTACTCTTGGCGTCACCAAATCGTTTCCCTTGCTTCCCGCGGTTTCCGCGCCGTTGCTCCCGATCTTCGCGGCTACGGCGACACTCATGCGCCGCCGGACATCGCCGTCTACTCCATCTTCCACCTCGTTGGCGACCTTGTCGCCCTCATCAACGCTCTAGGCCAAGAGCAGGTTAGAGTTAATCCGCCTCATATTTTCTTTGCTCTTCATTGGAAAGAAGGAAGCGTAACGCATAAAATGAATTTGATTTTTGGATTAAGGAAGTGTTTTTTTGTTAAGGTATTCGTGGTGGGGCACGACTGGGGTGCGATTCTGGCGTGGAATCTTTGCGTTTTCAGGCCGGATAAGGTGAAGGCTATGATTAACTTGAGCGTGATTTTCCGGCCACGTCATCCGGTTGTTAGGCCGGTTGACTTCTTCAGACAGCATTATGGGGATGATTACTATATTTGCAGATTTCAGGTTCCTTTCTCCTTGAGTTTGAGTCTTATATATGCGATATGGGTGTGAATTTGCCTAAATTGACCTAAATGTACCAAAAAAACAGGACAAAATTTTAAATTAAACCTAATATATAATTAATCTATTTGATTCAACATTCCGAAGCTTACTGGGTCTCTAACATGGTGGTGAGCAAGTAGCCCAATAAATGGACGACTTGCTATAGTTAGCTTTTTAAAGTTGTTTTTTTCTCCCCGCATGCTTGTCCAGCTGCTTCGTTCACTCATGCTTCTTAATCCGCCATTTCCAGATCTGTCGAGGTCGCCGAATCAAGGTAAGTTATTTGTTTTTATTTTATTTTATTTTTCCAGTTAATGTTGTATAGAAATATGAGTATAGCTTTGTATCTTTGTTGTGGTGTTTTTGTATTTTATTTTTTATGACATCTTATCTCTTTTTGATGAAGATGCAAGGGTTTAAGGATTTTTTGAGTTCGTCGACAAAAGTTATTTATATGTGATTTGGTAATGCAGAAATAGAAGCGAGCACTGGGTTATTTTTGAGTTGTTTATATAATGAGTTGTTTTGAGAGATAAGTATGTATGTGACTTGTTTAAAGAAATATCATATTTAAATAAAAAACATTTACGGTTAGCTCAAGTTGTATATATTTATTTTAATATATATGTTAAGATTTTTGCATTTAGTTATTATATTATTATTTTAATATATTTGTCAATTTTCATATTTGTACTTTTTATTTTAATATATATTTTAATTTTATCAGATTTTAATAGAACACTTACATTAAGCTTTATATTAAAAAAAAGTTACATTTAACTAATATAAATTTTTGTTTTTTTGTAAGAAGTGCTTAAATTTAAAAAAAAAACTGGTTAAGAGTTTGTTACTATATATGTTTCCACATTTGACCTATTTTTAATTTACTTTGTATGATAATATTAGCTTTACCTTTTTTGAACATAGAGTCACTTAAATTTTGCAGTTGTTACGTATAGTTATTAGTTTTCAGATAAATTAACATTTATTAGTTGAACTAGTTTATTTCTTTTTCTTTTTTAAAATTCCAATGCGATGTAGCAGTTTGATAATGAGTAGACAAGGAGCTATGTTTATGTTAAGATATGATGGTGAGTTATGCGTGGATGCCAATTTCGTACCAATGTATATTGGGGGTAGGAATCATCCCTTCTTAGTGCCAAGGAATTGCAAATTAGTTGAACTTAAAGATACTCAGGGCACTAAATTACAATGAAGCAAAGTATACAGTGAATTTAATTTGTCGACTGCCAGTCGGGAATTATTTCATTGCTTCACATGTTGCGTGTGATGTTGTGTTATGCTAAGCTGCTATAGAATTTCTTTTATATATATGTGAAAGTTTAAGAACTGAGTGTGCCAATAATGAATATTGATAACCTAACATCTCAAATACATGAGTTGTTCAGCATGGAGGAAAAGATCGAAGTTAATGATGATGTTTCAAGGCTTCATTTAATTGACGATCCATGTGCAGGTAAGTACCCCAGTGAACATATTAGTAAGTTTAACAATTTAAGCTATTATATCGATTTTTGAGTAAATATTAGTTTTTTAAATGTAGTCATGCAAAATGATCATTGGCATGATGCTGCAGGACCCTCGACCTAGTCGAGTCCTATTATTGATTATGGTTATGAAATAATGAGCAGTGAATCCAACGAGCAAGGTTTTGATGATTCTGATGACCATGGAGGAATTCAGGTACGAGTTGGCCGGAGCAATTATGTGGAATCCTCACTCACACTCTTTTGAAACCCATAAGAACATACTCCCTCTCTCACAACCTCATCCATTCTCTCCCTTGCTCAAAGCCCCCTCTTTAACGCCTTCTCACAGAAGACTCAACCATCTGACTGTCAAAAGATTTCTCTAAACTCTATTAAAAAAGCTTAAAAAGTTGGCTTGCAAAAATCTTAATAATTCAATTATGTTGACTCTGTTTGTACAGTATAATAAATGGATTATATAATCTGATTGTTTTAACACTGTCGAAGATTGTCTTGTACGATTCGAATTAGTCTAATACAGTTAGTTCAAATCAAACATTGAATCATACAGGATGAACCAAAATTTGTTTAGAGACTGTTCAAGTGCTTTGTATAGTACTATACATGATTGTCCAGTACGATCTGTAATTAATCAGATTCGATTTAATTCCTTAATAACCTTACTTAAATTTGACAATATTTTAAAATTTAAATGATCATACAATACAAATAGGTTTATATAATACGAAGAGTTCAATTTTCAAACTTCAAAATTTTTTATTTAGGTCGGTTGGATTTGACGACGGAGTTTTTGGTTATTGATGATCATCCAGTATGAAGATCTAAAACATAATATATGGAGTGTAATTTTAGTAGTAATAGACTTAGTGAGGGGATTGTGACTTTGGGCGATCAAGTCATTAATAGGAGTACATGTTTTAGATATCTTGGATATATTGTTCAGAGTGATGGTGAAATAGATGGGGATATTATCAGCAGAATTCAAGTTGGGTGATTGAAGTGGAGGAACGCATCGGGTTTGTTATGTGATAGAAATGTACCCCTCAAACTTAAGGGAAAATTCTATAAGATGGTAGTGAGGCCTGCAATGCTTTATGGTGCTGAATGTTGGCCATTAAAAGAGAAGCATAATACCAAGTTAAGTGTGGCAGAGATAAGGATGCTCAGGTGGATGAGTGGCTTTACCCTTAGAGATAGGATATGAAATGAGCATATACGTGAAAAGGTTGGAGTAGCTCCAGTAGAAGATAAGATTAGAGAGAGTCGCCTTAGATGGTTTGGTCACATAAAACGGCGGCCTTCCGATGACCGGTTAGGAGAGTAGAGGTATTAGATTTAACTTATGTTAAGAAAGGTATGGGTAGACCTAAAAAGACTTGGTTAGAAAATATTATGAATGACCTTTCTTTATTAGATTTAAACTAGAATTTGACTTTTAATAGGACATAATGGAGAAAAAGGATTCATGTAGCCGACCCCACGTAGTGGGATAAAGGCTTGATGTTGTTGTTGTTGTTGTTGATGATCATCCAGTATGATGTTTTGTCCATACCTTACGATTAGTTATAATTCAAATTTATAATTTTTTGTTAATTTTATTAATTTCTGTTTAAACTGATTGTACAATGCAATTAACAAAAAAAATTAAAATTTCATGCTAGCAGAACGTTAAATGCCGCTCAATATAATTACATACAACTAAAAAGAATGCTAGCGATTGTTTTTGCCTTTGATAAATTCAAATTCTATTTGATTGACATTCAGGTTCATGCTTACACAAACCAATATGATATTAAATGTCTTATGACAAAAAAGACGTCAAGCCAAGATTGATCTGGTAGATTCTCTTATTACAAGTGTTTAATGTAGAAATCCTTGATAGGAAAGGCATTGAGAGCCATGTTGTTGATCATATTTTTTGGTTATAGCTGGAAGAATCTATATCTCATGAGTGTGATATAAATGAATTCTTTCCATATGAACATCTTTTAGTGGTTCGTCTTGGTATGCTGATATAGTGAACTATATTGTGAGTGGAGTGATCCCCTTTGATTTATCACATACTCAAAGGCAAAAATTTTAGCATGATGCTATGTTCTTCTTGTGGGATGAGCCATATCTCTTTAGGAAATGCTATGATCAAATCATTAGGAGGTGTGTCCTTGAGGAGAAAGTAGAACCCATCATTAGGGAGTGTCATGATTTAAATTATGGAGGGCATTTAAGAAGGTTTAGAAATGCTTCTAAGATCCTTCATGTTGGATTATATTGGTGTACCCTATTTAAAGATGTCAATGCTTATGTCAAGAAATATGATCAATGTCAGCAGGTAGGAAACATCACTAAGAGAAATGAAATGCCTTTAAATTATATGTTGGAAGTGGAAATCTTTAATATTTGAGGACTTGATTTTATGGGCACATTTGTGCAATTTCATAGGTGTCAATATATTTTGATTGTTGTAGATTGTCTCCAAATAAATTGAGACAGTTGCCTCCCTCAGAACAGATGTTTAGGTACTGCTAAAATTTTTGAAGAAAAATATTTTTTCTAGATTTGAAATGCAGAGTTCTTGTTGATTAGTAATGGAGGAAGTCACTTCTGTGATAAAAAAGTGGAGGCCTTAGTCTCAAAATTTGGTATTCAACATAGGGTTGCTATTGCTTATCACCCCCAAATTAGTGTCCAAGGTGAGATTAATAATAGATTGATAAAGAGAATTCTTGAAAAGACTGTAAGCTCAAATATGAAAGATTGGGCATTGAAATTAGATGATGCATTATGGGCTTACATGAATGCATTCATGACACCAATTGGGATGCCTTCCAATCATTTGCTTTTTTGGAAAAGTTTGTCACCTACCTTTGAGTTAAAATATTGAGCATTTTGGGAAGTAAAAAAATTAAACTACAATCTTAATGATGCTGAGAAAAAGAGATTATTATAGTTGAAAGAGTTGGAGGAGTTAAGAAGTGAAGCTTTTGAAAATGTTAGGTTGTATAAATAACAAATGAAAAAATAGTATGATCGTAAGCATTTTAAGAGAAAATTTACCCCCGAACAAGAAGTACTTTTGTTTAATTCAAGATTGAAATTATTTCTAGGAATACTAAAGTCTAAGTGGTTAGGATTGCTCACTGTTGTTAGTGTATCCTTATGGAGCTGGAGGAATTAGAAAATCAAGACTGCCCAAATCTTCTAAGTTAATGGCCAAAGGTTGAAACCCTACTTAGGAGGGGACATAGATTGTTTGAGGAGTATTGTTGACTTAGCTCATCCTAATTAAGAATGTTGGTATAGTCTAACTGAAGATTGTAAACTTAACGTTACTTATTAGGCAACCAAATTTATTTTTTGATTGATATGTTTGATTTACGATTGTCTTATATTTTTTTGACATTTAATCTTATATAACTGTTGTATGCTCATGCAGTGTGTCTATGGTGCTTGATTGATATTTCCTTAAAGTAGATTTAAAAAAAAAAAAAATTGGATCCATGCGCCGCAGCGTCTGGTCATCAACCGCCGCAGCGTTGGGTCATCAACCGCCGCAACGCTCTTAGCATTATAGCACTAGGAGCATTTGGCACTACGACACCCTTCTCTCTATAAAAATAGAAATTAATTCAGCGCAGTTGTAATAATTCGATTTTCTTTTTAATATTTTTTTTTAAATAAAAAAATGAATTTCAGCATCGTACCTTATCGAAGAAGAGAGATTGAAGAGAGAAGGTTCTTTGGGGCTTTTTCATCCGTCAATTTTATTCAGAGAATTCTTCTATTTATTGTAAGTAACTCAAATCTCATTTTAATTTTCAATAATTTTTATAATTTTCATATATTGAACATAATTAATTATTTTCTACTGTATTTTGATTGTGGCATTTGCATATATTAGAAGGGCTTGCTATACTAATGGGTTGACTATTAAAACATAATATCTTTCGCATAAGGGTGGGCCAACGGGCTTTATTTAAATATGATTTATGGTGTTATCCTGATTCTAGCCTGTAATAGATGATTAATTATGCTGACAAATAGATATTGATAACTCTTTATTAATTTAATGAAGCCATATGTAATGATAATTAATTAATTTAATATGATAATTGATTAATTGGATAAATGATAATTAATATAACTAATAACTAACTGGGAATCAATTGGGGTAAAAGATGTTAAAAACATCATTATTGAAAAATTTAGTGATTCACTTCATTGACTGCTATTGATTATATTAAATTAAATATATTATATTAATTTTTTAGTCCTTGCATTGAAAGCTTTAGTCAGCTTTGAATTACTGCTGGACTTTTAAGCTTATTATGTGAATTTATAATATTTTCAGGTTAGGGAAGTGGTCAAGACTAGTTGGAGTGAGTCGAGTTTTCCTTAAATTTTATTATGTATTTTTTTATTCTTTTCTAGTTAGGAGCTTATAATAGATTAGTGATTGTAGTGATTTCCTGGCTAGTATAAATATTTTGGTGAATGAATAACAAAATATCTTGATGTATATGATTGTAATTGCTTTCGTTAGTTATTATTTATATTGATGATTTAAAGAAGCTTTGGTATATTCTTAAAATAATAAATAGACAATTATTCTAAATTTAATTCTTGGGCGTTATAGCTGTAGCACCGTGGAGCCCAACATCGCAACACTTCTTTTCATTCAGCGCCATAGCATTATGGGAACCAAGTGCCGCAGTGCCAAATAGCTTACCACAGGGCCTTAAGGCTGAATGTCAGCACCACGACGCTATCTCCTTTGAAAAATTGCAAATTAATTAGAGCTCCCAAGTGTTGTTGCAAGTGCTACAGCGCTCGGTCAGTGTTACAATTAGCCGAGGTGGAGGTCTTTTGCAATGCAGTAGCATTAACAAGTGTCACACGCCATAGTGGTGACTCGATCAAAAGGTTGTTGTTTTGACTTCCAAAGCTCAGTGTCGCGGCGCAACCTGACCACAGGGGCGAAACGATCGTCCTTTCTTTGACCAGACTAACCTTTAATTGGCAAAGCATTGCAACACTCTACGTCGTGGCGCTCAACCCTTTTATATAGCAATCTGAGCCATTTTTCTTCTTTTCTTACCTTGAATTCTTGCATTTGAAATTGAACCTCCCGTTTAGAGAGAGAAACCTTGCTTTTTCAAAATTCTATTTTTCCTCCACCGGTGTCGGTCTTTCCGGCAATGTTTGATAAACCTCCAGCGACTGACTACAGTCATCGGAAATCCTCCACTCATCATCTTTTAGCTCTTAGCCTGATGAGAGTATTCGCCTAATCCATAATTCTATTTCGCATCCTTCTTTGGTGGATCGGCCTGCTTTGGCGGAGAATCCTTTGGAATCTCTTGCCGGTGGTCGGCACCTTCTTGATCAACCTCCATTGGTTTCTCACTTTCCTAATTGTCATGTTGATCGGAATAGATCTGTTGTCTTTGGTGCTTTGAAGATCAAAGAATCATCTCTGAATGTTTTGAAGATATCTTCACCTGTTTTGGGTAAAGGTAAACAATTGGAGGTAGATGCTATGGTAAAGATCCCTCGAGTATCTTATAATTACTCTGTTGGGAACAAAAACAACAATTTGGAAGCTTCTTCTTCTTCTTCAAATATGAAGCTGATTGTGAACAGGATTGGTATGTCAAATCTTTCTAATAAAACTCAAAATTCAATTTGTTCTGAAGACACTCTGACTGTTTGGATGAATGCTCATAAGACAATTCCTGAAAATAAGGAAAATCATGTTGAAAGCGACGCTAATGTTACCAAGCAACTTAATCCCTAGAATAGGCGGCCTAACATCAAAATCAACTTTGCAAAGGATGAATCTGCTATAACTGAAGATGGAACTGTAAAATTATTTGAACCATCATTTGTGGAGAACTCTGAGAAATTGAAATTCTCAGTTGTGGTGAAGGTATTTGGGAAGGACATTCCATATCAAGTAATTGCTCGGGAGTTACGCAGACAGTGGAATAAGCTTGGAAAGTTTCATTTAACCATTTTGGGATTTGGTTGAATCCTTTGTTCATTCTTCTCTTCAGACTCCATGAAAAGTGTTTTATCTGGTGGTCTATAGTTTGTTAGTGGCCACATTGTGGGCATTGATAGATGGGCTCCGGAGTTCTCTACGTCTTCCTTGAAGGGGTTGGCAGCTCCTATTTGGATAAGATTACCTCATCTTCCTCTTTTTTGCTGGGATGAAACCAATGTTACACGGATTGCATCTGTAATTGGAATTCCTCTCCTGATAGATGGGAATATGTTCCAATGGAGTAGGAGAGAATTTGCAAGAGTTTGTGTTCGTGTAGATCTTAACAGAAGCTTCCTTTGGGTGTATGGGTTCAAGGAGTAAATGGTAAATTTTTTCAAAAATTTGAATATGAAAAGGTCTCAACGTTTTGTTTTAAATGTGGAAGAATTGGACATATGGTTGTTGACTATGATTTGGCCTTAAATAATAATACCACTGAGGTTATTCAAGACCATAGCATCGTAAAGAATGTTGCTGAAAACTCTCAAAAATTGGCTGAAGATAGAGAATTTGAATACATGCCCTGGATTCGTGTAAATCGTGGAAGGAAGGGTAGAAGAGTTGATATGCAGAGAAGAGTTTATAAGGGCTAAGGCACTGGTGGGAAAAATTGCACCTCAAAATATCATCAAAAATGTGGAAGGAATGGAAGCAAAGGAAGTATCTGTGGTTAGCTCAGTAGCTGCAAAACTTATAAATGATACTGATATTGTTCAACCCGTTGAAAATCAGAATTCATTGGTGATTCCTGAAGCTGTGTATGCTACTAAATCTGTAGAATAGCTAGTTGATGTTGATCCAAAAAACGTCTCTTATGTTAAGGACAATATGTTCAAACTACTTAGTTCAACTGATGAAGATGGAGAAGTTGGTTTAGAGAGAGAAGCTCCCGGAATTAAGTGAGAGAAAGTTCATTGAAATTCAAATTTTTCCAGCCCGTTATTGTTGGCGGTCTGTTCGCCGTCGATGGAAGAAGGAGTGGCGTTCGCCGCTGATCGTCGGATCCCTCCCGGCGATACAAGTTTGAAGTTTGTTCGTCCTGATGGTTCATTCAGAATTCACAAATATGGGATTTTACATATTAATGGACCTTCTTCAGAGGCTCTTAAGAAGTCACCTGTTGTGCCAGGGAAAGGCAAAGGAATTTTGATTCATTCTCCCGTGAAGAATTTCAAATCTCTGAGGATTCATGAGAAGAAATTAGGTGACAATGAAGCCTCATCTTCGTCAGGCTTAAAGCTTTTTGTGAACAAATTCAACAACCTAGCTGGTAAATCTCAGTTCATTGAGAATGGAGTTCTTTTTCCCAAAAACTTATGGAGAACACATCAGATATTCGACGTAATACCGAGGAAGCTGTGACCTTAAAAGCTGCTGATTCGAATCTTATTAAAGCTTGGATCAGGAAACCGAACATCAAAGTCTCGTTTAAAGAAAATGAATCATTTCTTTCTGAGGACGGTGAATAAGTTAAACTCAATGAATCTTGTTTGAAGATGAATGCTGATAAACTTCAATTATCTCTGGTTGTGAAGGTTTTTGGTGAGAATGCTCAAGTCATTGTGATTGCTAGAGAACTTCGCCGTCAATGGAGTCAGTTTGGGAAGTTTCATATTAATTCCCTTGGACTTGACTGGATTTTATGTTCCTTCTTTGATAAGGAATCAGTTGACAAAGTTCTAGAAGGTGGCCCGTGGTACGTCAATGGACACATTGTGGGAATTGATAAATGGTCTCCACTATTTTTCTCCTTCTTCATTAAGAGGATTAACTTCCTCGATTTGGGCCAGGTTTCCTCATCTACCTTTAATTTGCTGGGATGAAGAAAATGTAGCTAGAATAGCCTCCAAGATCGGAATCCATCTTTGAATCGATGGTAACATGTTTCAATGGAGCAAGAGGGAGTATGCTAGAGTTTATGTTCGTATGCCTTTGGATCAACAATTTCCAACTGGAGTTTGGGTAGAAGGATCCCACGGACGTTTCTTTCAAAAGGTTGAATACGAAAAAGTTTCTACTTTTTGTTTCAAGTGTGGTAAAGTGGGTCATCTAGATGATAAATGTAAAGATGACGTGGCGGCTTATCAAAAGGAACATGTAAATTCATTGGAAAAGGGAATGCAGTCTAAATTCCATCAATCTCAGCAAGAAGTTGAATCAGACAAAAGCTATGGGCCATGGATTCTTGTCCAAAATTTAAGAAGGAAGAAGCCATTACCTGATTGGGTAAGGTGAATCTGAGAAACAATAAATTCAGGAAAATTAAAATCTGTGTATGTGCAGAAATCTTCCTTTAATCCAAATTCAGTTCAATCTGTAGATGAGAATGTTGGTAAGGGAAATGTAGAGGTTCCTGGAAGATTTGTAGAAGAAACTCTTGTTCCAACTGTGAATGTTAAAGTTACAGTTGTGGAGAAGGAAATTTCAGGTACTGGCACTTGCATGGAAGGTACATTGAAAGCTCATTACAAGAAGGTAGATACTGCAGTTGAAGATAACAGAGATTTGTGTGGTGATAATGAGATTCCGAGTAATCAAACTGCTCATTTTTCAACAGAAGATAAAAATATGTTCAGAATATTGAGCATTAAGAATTTTGGTGAAGAAGGAATTGTTGGCTTTATTGACAAGGATGAAGATCTTGAAGAAGGAGAAATCAATTGTTCCAAATCTGATCTTGCTGTTATTAAAACAGAGAGGATAAAATGAATTTGTTAAAAGTAAGGGTAAGTAAGCTTCTTAAA